CAACAAACAGTAGTGCTAAATACTATTACCCTCTGTGAGTATTTGTATGTATATTCAATACTCTGGAATCAAAACTCTTCTCATTCCTTCATTTCCGGGATTAGATTTCCAAGGTCCTCACAATGATAGGAAGGCTCTTTTAGACTGATCATCAAGGCATAGAATTGGTGGGATTTAGGAGGTCACGTATTTATTTATTTAGAAATGTAACTGCTGTTGGAATAAATCTGTTGTTTAACCTGTTGCCCCCAGTTGTACATTATCTATCTATCTATCTATCTATCTATATATATATATATATATATATATATATATATATATATATATGGCCTCTCAGAGGGCAGGCTTTAATGCTGAACGGTCACATACAGTTGCAAAAGTATGTGAACCCCTTGGGATTACGTGGAGTTTCGCATGAATTGGGCATAAAATGTGCTCTGAACGTCATCTAAGTCACAACAATAGAAGAACACAGTCTGCTGAACATAATACTACACAAAACATTAGATGTTGCCATGGTTTGATTGCACATAACATGTAAACATTCACAGTGCAGGGAGGAAAAAGTATGTGAGACCCTAGTTTAATGACTTCTCCCAGAGCTAATTGGAGCCAGGAGTGAGCCAACCTTGACTCCAATCAGTGTGATGATATTGGATGTGTTGCTGACAGCTGTCCTGCCCTTAAAAAACACACACCTGTTTTGGGTTTACTGGTTTCAAGAAGCACTGTCTGATGTGAACCATGCCTCGCAAAGGGAGCTCTTAGAAGACCTACGATCCAGAATTGTTGACTTACATGAAGCTGGAAAGGGTTACAAAAGTATCTCCAAAAGCCTTGATGTTCATGTGTCCACGGTAAGACAGACTGTCTACAAATGGAGAAAGTTTAGCACTGTTGCTACTCTCCCTAGGCGTGGTTGTCCTGTATAAATGACTGCAAGAGCACAACGCAGAATGCTGCATGAGGTAAAGAAGAATCCTAGAGTGTCAGCTAAAGACCTACAGAAATCTCTGGCACATGCTAACATTTTTGTTGACACATCTACAATAAGGAAAACATTAAACAAGAATGGAGTACATGGGAGGACACCACGGAGGAAACCATTGCTGTCCAAAAAGAATATTGCAGCACGTTTGAAGTTTGCAAAAGAGCACCTGGATGTTCCACAGCACTACTGGCAAAATATACTGTGGACAGATGAAACCAAGATTGAGTTGTTTGGAAAGAACACACAACACTATGTGTGGAGAAAAAAAGGCACAGCACACCAACATCAAAACCTCATCCCCACTGTAAAACATGGCAGAGGGAGCATCATGGTTTGGGGCTGCTTTGCCACTTCAGGGCCTGGACGGATTGTTGTCATTGATGGGAAAATGATTTCCAGAGTTTATCGAGACATTTTGCAGGAAAACGTACAACCATCTGTCTGCCAACTGAAGCTCCACAGAGGATGGATGATGCAACAGGACAATGACCCAAAGCATACAAGTAATTCAACAAAACAATGGCTGCAACAGCACAGAATACGCCTTCTGGAGTGGCCCAGTCAGAGTCCTGACCTCAACCCGATTGAAATGCTGTGGCATGACCTTAAGAGAGCGATTCACACCAGACATCCCAAGAATATTGCTACACTGAAACAGTTTTGTGAAGAGGAGTGGTCCAAAATTACTCCAGATCGTTGTGCAGGTCTGATCTGCAACTACAGGAAACGTTTGGTTGAGGTTATTGCTGCCAAAGGAGGGTCAACCAGTTATTTAAGTCCAAAGGTTCACATACTTTTTCCTCCCTGCACTGTGAATGTTTACATGTTATGTGCAATTAAACCATGGCAACATCTAATGTTTTGTAGTATTATGTTCAGCAGACTGTGTTCTTCTATTGTTGTGACTTAGATGATGTTCAGAGCACATTTTATGCCCAATTCATGCAAAACTCCACGTAATCCCAAGGGGTTCACATACTTTTTCTTGCAACTGTATATATGTGTCCCAAAGCAAACATTTTCTGTGCTGAGAGTGCCGGCCCTATGTGCTCCAAGCGCAGTTGCCTTTGGGTACCGGAAAGCTCTCAATGCATAGTTGTGATTGGGAGCTTTCCGATCATGTGACAGCCAATCACAGCAGTCACATGATTGGAGAGGCTACCTCTGCCTCCTAGTATTTAAAACCTCTCAAAAGGAGTTGGGAAGGAGTTAAAGAGCTCAATAACTCAAGCAGCAATTTACCTGCTGTTGGAATGTCTGTTGTTTTAAAAGCTCAATAACTTAAGCAGAAATGTCTACATGCTAAAACTAAAAATACCTTCTTGCTCCACACAAAATGACTAATTAAGCAGCATGTATAATAGGCAGTCAAAGGGCTTCCACATATGAGCAATGAATACAACATATTAGCTTTATGGCACCAATGTTTTAGCATGTCACAGTCCGAGAAACATCAATTGAATAAAGCTATTATACTATCCCCCATGTTCATTTGTGGTAACCTTTGAGTGCCTACTATACCTGTTGCTATATATGTATATTTATATACAGGGATTAGACAAAAAATAGAAACACAACTTGATTTGCAGATGTGGAAGTGATGACATGTTTCACTTTGAAAGAGGAAGGGATGTAACATTCTTTTGTTCCACAATATGATGAGACACCTAGCTAACAGGTGGGAAGTCTCACTTTCATCATTCACTGCATGTGCGCTGCTAATAATATGGAGTCATGTCAGAGCTTACTGAGCTTCACAGAGTGCAAATTGTTACTGCCTACTTAGCTGGTGCCTCCGTGACTGAAGTTGCCAATTTATTTGCAGTATTTCAAGGTACAGTATCAAAAGGTAATGACAGCATATACAGTTTCCGGGAAAACGCGGTCAACATGGTCAACTGACCGAAAGGACATTGCGCAGGATTGTGATTTGGAATAAGAAAAGAACTGCTGCAAAAGTGACCGCAGAGCTCAATCTCAGTCTTTACAGCACTGAGATTGAGCTCTGCATTCACTTTTGCAGCAGTTGTTTTCTTAGGACTTTATATAAAACTAGTAAAGTAGCCACCTTTCCTTGCTTGCTATTTCACCCTTCTTTACCACAACATTTTTCCACTAAATAACACAAAGAAAAGTATACACAAATTATTATAACCATCTAATATAGGTTTCTGGTCCAACATCCCTTCATTAAGAATACTAGATTATTGTTTTTAGGACTTTTTTTATGATTCACTAGTATTCACATTAATTGTGTATGATTAATTATATTATGTTTTACCATTTATGTTAAACTGGAGTTCCAGTGAAAATAAAAAAATAAAGGTCAGCAGCTACAAAAACTGTAGCTGCTGACTTTTAAAAATCATTCTTTTAATCCCAGAGTGCCCCCCCCCTCGCAGTCCATTTCACCGGTTGCCTTATGTTCCTGGCATCTTCAGTGCGGGCATGCAGCTGTAACCGCTTGTGGCTTCACAGCCGGGTGTTCGCTGTGCATGCGTGAGTAGCACTGCGCTTTGTGAATGGTCCCATAGTCTTTTGGGACCTGCCACGTGTCCCAAAAAACTACCGGGAGGGAGGGCAACTTCTGCTTCTGATCGCCTAGGTGATCGCAGCGGAATTGGGAACAGGATTTTTTTTCAATTTCGGGTACCCGCTCCCCCACCGCTCCTCAACGGTGCCAATCCTTAACACGGTGCAGAGGACAAGTCCTTAAAGCAGAAATTCCCCTTTTTGGTGGAGCTCCGCTTAATATGCAAGGGTATCACAATTGTGTCACTATTTGGTGAGCGCCTACTTTCATTTATCGCAAACTGATTTTACTGTTGTGGGGTTAGCAATACTTTACTGGTGGACAGGGCAGTCTAGACCCAGTCTGAGTAGGAAAGATGCAAGGGAGTGCCTTGCCATACTAGGCTATGGAACTGTGTGTTTCTATTGATGCATACAGTGTAGGGAAACATAACCTGAGTTTCTGCATACAGGGGTGGCTTCATAGTATGCTAAAAGAGAACCAGGTAACCTTTGGGCAGCAGTCGCGGCTACAGCTTAAACTGGAATATAGGCAAGGATTAAAAAATAAAGATGTATGCTCAGTAAGTGAATAAATGAATATAGAGTATGATTTAAATTATTACATTTTGACCATAGATAAGCTTTAAGGTTTGCTAAAATCTTTGAAATGTGACAAGCTTGAGTTTTCACACATATAATAAATTCTAGTTTACAAACTTTTTTTATTGGTGAATGAAAAGTAGTACAAATGACCCGAAGGGTCAGCACTATACAAAATAATACAAAAGAGAATAATAAGCTTCTATCAGTTCAATATAGAATAAGCAGCCACATGGCTATACCTTCATAGAACAATATAGGGATACAGATAAACCTTGTCACATAACATAAGATATAAAATAAATAAATAAATAAAGGGGCATAGCTCAACATTTAGTAATATCAGCAAAACAGAGTGATGACAGAAAAGAAGAGCAGGAAGACTTCCAAGTGTTCCATTTGGCATCAAAGAGGTACATTGTATCAAATAACGTGGTGTATATATGTTCCATGAGCATTACAGAATCAATATTATTATAAATCAATATTATTTATTAATAATAAGAGAAAAGGGAACTACCATGGATTTCCACACATATAACAAATTCTAACCAGTAAATAAAAGAATGAACCTAGGAGACAAAGAAATATTATTTCATTCTGAACATAATATAATATGAATAGAAAATATTTAAACAAAGATGGGTTGCCCAAAGCAAACAGCCAGCTTTTAGCCACCATTTTTGCAGTGCAAAGCGGAAAATGAGAAAGTCATATTGGTTGGTTGCAATGAGCAACACGAAATTATGTTATGCACGCCATGTAGTTACAACCCAGCCAGCCTTTAGCAATTGGGTATACCTTATCTGGTTTTCCTATAAATATACATATTACATACAACTACTACGGTGTACATACAGTGTATATATATATATATATATATATATATATATATATATATATACACACAGCAGGGGCGGACTAACAACTCATGGGGCCCCCGGGCAATAGGGGATCATGGGGCCCCTGTGTCATTGCCCACACTCAAACCACATCAACAAAAGCCTATGAAAGGTACCAGGGGCATCTCATGGGGCCCCCTACTGACGAGTCCCCAAATGGTCAGTCTGCCCCTGATATACATTATATATATATATATATATAGAGAGAGAGAGAGAGAGAGAGATAGAGAGAGAGTTTTTTTTTTCATACTGTAAGGCTGTAAGGATACAGACCTATTTATAGAGTTTATTAGCACAGTGAACTACATTTTCAGTCTCATTTAATAAATAAAAAGAGGAACACTAAATAATACAGTAATGGAACGATGTACAATCTAGTGGAGATAACAGAAGACATAAATTGAAATCTACTGGTAACCTAAGAAGAGCTTTATGTCAGTGATGGGACAGGTTTCTGTGATAAAGACAGCCATTAATATCTACTGTAGTGTAAAAATCCTACATATTGCAGTACTATAGCAAAAGTATTAATTAATTTTGAAAGCTTGTCCCTAACCATAAAAAAATAAATGTACATCTCTACCTACTTAGAATTAAAAGAAGGTTATGAATTATGTAAACTTCACTGTTTAATAATGAATTTATAAAAGCCAAATGATGGATAAAACTTGAGCCAATATTTCCAATATTTTAGAAATAAATGTATATAATCGTATAATTTGTTAATCTGCTGATTTTATAATATTTAATGGTTCAAAGCTACTATTTCTTTTTATTTAGTAGAATACATGACTAGGCTTCCATATATAAAGAATGTAAATAGCACCAAGTGACCCAAATGCATCACTTAGAGATTTTATTTATCTATACATGGAAGATTTCACTAAAATTAAGTTGTTTCAACTAAGTACCGCAACCCCACCCCAGAGATGTGCAGTACGTTACCTCCATCCCATGGCCCCAGCCACCTGGAATGTTGACACCCTGCTATGAAATCCTCTTTACTCTGACCACCTTTGTGCAATCTCCATATACTTTTATTGGGCCCTCTACTAAATGTTTTCTGCCACAGGGGATAGCTCCATAGTCAGGCCAGATAGGATTTTTCTGAAGGCTGTCAGCATTTTAATGTAATGTTGGATGGTGGTAAGTGTGTATCTGGGGTAGGGGGAGAATAAGTGCTTGATATGTTATAGTACACTTATCCTTAAAGTGGTTGTAAACCTCAGATATGAAATATGAACAAAGTACCTTACCTCTCCCCAGAGTTAAAAAGGTGGCAGGGAGGGATCTTCAGCTGATTGACAGCCCCAGCTCTGTTCCTGTGTGCTGTGTCAAGGGGGCTGGGGGTGTCCCTTCCCTCCAATCAGCTCCCAGAGCTCTTGTACAGTGTGAACCTGCAGCTGCCCACCCCCTGCTTTGTGAGTCTGTGAATAAACCTTTTCATCTGTACGTTTTATAAGGCTGGACAGGACAATTGGCTGCAAATAAACATATACAATGTAATTTTTTATTTAGGGAAATTTGTTTCACCTCTGTGCATCACCTGAGGCTATCCACTTCACTGGGTGTAGGTAAGGGTTTACAACCACAAGTGACTAATGTGTATTATTTGCTTATTTTGACAACTGTTGTAATGAAGCACTTTTAATACACTCATGGATGTTAAACAGACCATGTCACCTGGATCCATGTAAAGCCCACCATCCTGACCACTTCATACTCACCTCTCTAGCATTCCCTCACAACCCATACCTTTATTGCAGCTGCCACCAAAATAATGAGTTGGATGTCAGAGGAAGCAGAATGTGACCCCTTTTGTTAAGTAACAGTGTTCAGGCCTAGCTATTGACAACTAGGCTCAAGAATTGTATCATGGGAGGAGGTCACATGCATCTGCAATACTGGAAGTGCTAGGTATTTTGCAGCAGAAGCAACCACAGAAAGAGTGTTTTGGGATTGTTGATGTGATGATTATCAAGTGATTGGGGTTTAGACATCTTTGATTTTCTTTTTCTGTAGAATCTGAAAGAGTTTATATTCTATTTACTCCTTGAATTAAAAAAGTGATGATTAAATGTTCATTCTCAAGAGAATTATTCATCCACCTGCATAAGGCTTTCAACTCACAGAGATGCCAGGCAGGTCAGGCAATCGTGCAACTCAATTCAGCCAACTCTGGTCTCACAATACAATGTACAAGTGAAAAAAGGTGAAAATCTGACGTTCTTCGGTGCTATTTTCTTGCACTTTTTATCACTATTTTAAGAGTTAGGAATAACAAAAACTTCACCTAGCACTCTTTTTATTGATTTCAACAATATTATTTTTATATTATTATATTATAATTGTATTATGCAATTATAGTTAGGAGAAAGGTGAGGATTTATTATAGTAACATAACGTAATAGACCACATGTTGTTTTATGAAGTGACACTAAAGTATTTTTTCATAATTATTTTCAGAGATTTTGACAAACAAAAGGACCAGACCAGTGAATCCCATACATGGGATGGATAAACCCAACCTCTACTTTGTATGGTTGCACTTCACTTTACAAAATAAGGTACAGGTGCCTGAACTCTGGACAGGCCATCCCCTATGAACACTGCCAAACAAAGGCTAATGCAAATATATATTTTAAATGGAGTAAAATGTAGGCAAGGCCCACCTACATAAGATATGATACTGATCACATAACAATGGAAATACAGAGTGACCAAGGATGGCAGTAAAGAAGAGACATGATGACCACACACACAGTCAGATAATTCTGAATGGACTATATTTGGTCTTTGTAGTTTAGATATTTTATAGTACAACCTGTAAACAAGAAGAGTTCAAGTAAATCCAGTGTAGCCATTAACTCATTATAGTTGAGATATATTCAATAAGAGCGCACTTTGCTAGTGTGAATCTGAAGTCCATCTTGAGAGCTTTGTTTATACACTTTACCAGGGAGAAAATATATTTTTCCTGTGAAGAATGCATGAATGTACTGCTTTGGAGCTATGGATAATGATTGAAATGAATGGACCATACATACTGTATAAGCCACTTGAATGATAACTTAACTTTGTGAATTTTGGTTTTGACGTTACCTATTTTTGTAGGCACTTCTTGAGAGCATGGATTCTACTCTAGCATTTCAAAAGAGCTGAAGAAATTATGGGGTTTATTTACTAAACCTAGAGAGTGCAAATCAAGCTCACCTCTGCATAGAAACTTTCTAACATCAGCTTGTTCAATTAAACTTTGGCAGTAAAACCAGAAAGTTGATTGGTTTCTATGCAGAAGTGAGCCTCATTTTGCACTCTCCAGCTTTGGTAAAGAAACCCCAATATGCTTTTATCATGAAAAAAGAGTGTGTTGAAAGAATAAAGTCAGTGCAGGTCTGGTAAGCATCTCTACTGTGGTATTAAGTGTAAAGCCTGGCAGACACAGCTTGAATTTCAGATGACTCCTGCAGAATCAGACAACATTCAAGTTGAGGGTGGCACCAACTGATGTGGAAAAAGTTAATTTCTCCATCATCTTTTGTCTATGGACCCGAGTGGAAAATTGCCAGCCAACCTGTGGCTGCATCCAATCAGATGCAGTCTTTGATCATGTCATGTATTCTGACAGCCACGTCTGTCAGTTGTCAGGATATAATAGTTGTTAGAGCAGATTATTTCTTTCACACTATTTAGTGTGGATGGAGGAATATATTAGATTTATCTTATTCAGCCCTTGGGCTGAATGAGAGAAATTTATACTTGTATGTCTTTACTTTGATTCAATCTTCATCAATATGCGTGTTGGTAATGCTTTCAGGTGCTATTGTTCCTTTAAAAGACCAGTTTAAAGAGGACTGTCATACAGAAAAGTCCATAGCTACCTAATGGTTCTTAGTATTTCATATGTACTCAGAATACTGAAAGCTGCCATTCAGGGGCGGACTGACAACTCATGGGGCCCCCAGGCAATAGGGGATCATGGTGCCCCTCTGTCCTTGCCCAAACTCAAAAAAGCCTATGAAAAAGGTACCAGGGGCATCTCATGGGTCCCCCTACTGACCCCGGGCCCTCGGGCACTGCCCGAGTTTCCAGATGGTCAGTCCACCCCTGCTGCCATTGCTGAACATCCTTCTGACAAATATAAATGCCTGGATGTCCTACTAGTCATGTGAAATCATTTTATAAAAAAAAAAGATATTTTCAGTACAACCCCCCCTCCACACACACCACACACACTCCCAACCACCCCCTCCCTGTTAATATATGAACTACTCTTTGCTTAGTCTAGGGGAGTGTAATAGAAAGGAATACTTATCCTGTTTCCCTGCCCCTGTAAGATTCTTCCTCTCTGGTTTCTAGCCTCTTTCCTTCCTTTCTGGCTTTGTTGCCACCTCCTCACTGGTGTCATCTTGCACAATGCAGGACCAGTGGCCATGGAATTTAGGGCCCGTCCACATTCCAGGGCAAAAGCAAGAAAGATTTTCCCCCAAACTGAAGAATAGGGTAAATATTCTTTTTTATATAATACCTTCTTAATGAGCAGTAATTTATGATTCTATAGGGGGTTGCACTCTAATTAGCTTTTTTTTAATAGCTGACCAGAATAAAACTTTACGTCAATGACCTAGAAAAATATAAAGTATTTGAAGTCAGAATACTTGGTCTTTTATTTTGGGTCCATGAAGGTTGAAGGGAATTTACATGACTAAAGGAGAACCAGTATTTTAGCAAGCAGATGTCAGTATTGGTATCCTCCTTTTTCTCTGATTACAGGTTTTCTTTAATACTCAGGATAGGGGCGGACTGACAACTCATGGGGCCCCCGGCAATAGGGGATTATGGGGCCCCTGTGTCCTTGCCCAAACTCAAAAAAGCCTATGAAAAAGGTACCAGGGGCATCTCATGGGGCCCCCTACTGACCCCGGGCCCTCGGGCAGTGCCCGAATTTCCAAATGGTCAGTCCGCCCCTGACTCAGAACAGATAACAGCTACCACTGGTCAGCATAGGTAATCTTCTGTACTAACAGCAAGATCATCGCTATTATACTCAGTACAAAGATTCATGAACCATCTAAGCAAGATTGATAGTATCACTGTCTCATGGAAACACAAGGCTAACATCACATAATGACATTATAGATACTGTATATAGTACAGTGTGGTCTAAAGGAATAGTATAGTTGTCTAGCAACTTTTGTAGCAGGCAAGGTGTTTTTGCTAAGTTAAAATAGACTGTTTTTGTTACCATGGTAGCCAGTGCATGGAGAATCAGTACATTGATTAAAAACATTAAACTTAGAAGCAATATGTTTCCCAGCATGTTAGCTTAAAAGTACATTTTAAGAATAATGTCTCAAAAAAATGATTAGGTATCAGGGACAGAAATACTTTACATACTGTATATTGCCTGACTGTTGCTCAATAACAGAATATCTCCCCAGCTCAATGCCGACAAACAGATCGAATGAAGCATTTACTCCAGTAGCTAACAGAGGTACACAATACTAAGCTGGAGAAGTTTTCATACATATTTCAGTTTGTCTGATTTTATTTTCTGATCAGAAATTACTGCCATTGGATTTTTGACACTGTGTGTTAATTCTGGCTGTTAATTCTCCTCAGTGATTATATTATTTCTAAGCAACCCATATGTAAAGTATATAGATTATCTGTAAAATGCAGTGAGCCACAGCTACCAATCAGATATCACCTTTCATCAACTTAATTGTCATTTATATTTTTACTGGATGGTCCCAATAATCAACTCCAGATTCAACATTTGTGTTTATGTTTTTTTTTTCTTTTTAACTAACATAAGGATGGCACTGGGTGTATTATTACTATTATACAGGATTTATATAGCACCAACAGTTTGCTCAGCGCTTTACAAATATAATGGGAGACAATACAGTAACAATACAGTTCAATACAAGAGGGATTTGAGGGCCCTGATCCTTGGAGTTTACAATCTAGGAGGGAGGGGCTAGTGGTACAAAAGGTAGTAACTGTGGTGGATGGACTGGTTGGAAGAGTAGAAGATTCCAGTATTAGCTGAGGGCAGGATAGGCTAACCTGAAGAGATAGGTTTTCAGAGATCACCTAAAAGTGAGCAGAGTAGACGATAGTCTGATAGATTGGGGTAGAGAGTTCCAGAGGATGGGGAAGCTCTGGAGAAGTCCTGGAGATGAGCATGGTAGGAGGAGACAAGGGAGCTAGAGAGTAGGAGGTCTTGCGAGGAGCGGAGAGTACGGTTTGGATGATATTTAGAGACAAGATCGGTTATGTAATTTGGGGCAGAGTTATAAATGGCTTTATACGTTATTGTAGGTGTTTTGAATTTTATCTGTTGGGCAATGGGAAGCCAGTGGAGGGATTGGCAGAGAGGGGTGGCAGATATAGAGCGGTTAGTAAGGTGGATGAGTCTGGCAGCAGCATGCTACGCTAAGTACATAGAAATATTTGCTTTTTCTAATGGGTCCCAATTTGCAGAGGTTAAATCTTATGTTCATCTGACCACCATCTTATGTCTTGGGCCAGCTTTATTACATTTCAAATATATATTGAATTTTTACCTTTTCAAATAAGACACAATGATGCATATCTAAACTCAATGTCTATAATTTCATATAAGTTTTACCATGTTAATGTAATTTTGCAATTTGCTTTCATTCTTCTTGAAGTGACCCCTGGTGATCATGGCATGAAGAGGCAATTCCTGGTGTAAGATGACAACTGTCTCCCAACTGTCACCCTATAATGTCAATATAGGGTGCATTAGGAGTAGGCTTAGAAAGTAAGGGTTCTGCAGCAACAACCAGCTGGAAACTGGAGACATCACAGGTTAATGTACATCTTTGCTAGCACACCACAGATCAACCAGCACTGTCTGAAATGTATATTGTAAACTGATCACATCACAACAGACAAATTACAAAGTTTCAGAGTCACACAGGACCCCTTTGCCAGGCCTGTAAGACTTTCAGATGGTACTGGTTGATCTGTGGTGTGCAGGCAAATATATACATTGACCATCTGTCACCCTCTGACTTGTGCCTCTAGTTGAGAGGCAGTGCAAATACACATTATGTAGGCATTGTCCACTGTTGTCACTATCAGAAAACTGGTCTAGAACAACAATGTGCAGCTAATGATGGGATGTGTGCATGCAGACAGGAAGTGGCTTAACCATTTGCCTACTGGACACTTTTACCCCCTTCCTGCCCAGGCCAATTTTCAGTTTTCAGTGCTGTCGCACTTTGAATAACAATTGTGCGGTCATGCAACACTGTACCCATATTACATTTTTATCATTTTTTTCATACAAATAGAGCTTTCTTTTGGTGGTATTTAATCACCACTGGGGTTTTATTTTTTGCTAAACAAACAAAAAAAGACCAAAAAAAAAGTTTTTCTTATAACTTTCTTAGTTTCTATTATAAAATGTTGCAAACAGGTAATTTTTCTCCTTTAATGATGTGTGTTGATGAGCTGTACTGATGGGCTCTTATAGGCAGCACTGATGGGCACTGATGGAGGTGGCACTGGTGGACCTTGATGAAGAGGCACTGATGAGGCTGCACTGATATGCCACATGGATGGGCACTGATAGTCAGCAATGATGGGCACTAATAGAAAGCAGTGAAGCACACTGATAGGTAGCACTGACTGGTGGCACTGACTGGCATCATTGACTGGCATCATTGACTGGCATCATTGACTGGTGGAACTGACTGACGGCACTAATAGGCGGCATTGATGGGCACAGATTGGCAACACTGATGGGCACTTTTGGGGCTGCACTGATAATCAGGGCATTGCTAATCAGAGCCCTGATTATCAGTGCAGATGTCCCCTTTCTCAGTTGTCGGTTATCAGCAGTACTTTCCTTACGCTTTGACAGCGTAAGCAAAGTATTGCTAATAACCGGCAAGTGTGTTTACATGGTGATCAGCTGGCGCCCTCCCAGAACAGGATGACCGCGCTGTAGCTGTCATTTGGCTATAGCCCAGTCACCAAGTGGTTAAAGAGGAGAGGAGGAGATTGCCAGCTCTGAGATGCAAAAAAAGGATGAAAAAAGGTGTGTGAACAGTTGATTCATCCAGTTAGGGTTAAGATCTACTTTAAATATGTTTAACTTATGTATTGTACCATTGATACATTGTTACTTTTCTCCATAATTAAAACAAAAAACTTTTAAATAAGCACATGCATTTGCTTACTTCTATGATGGCCAGCTGCTATATGTTTCGTTATATATTTGCTGGTTTGGATGTGGTTAGCATTTTGTCAGAATTCATAACAGATGTATGTGGAATGACCATTGGTATTGTAAGCTTCTTCTTCTTTCAATAGTCATCAGCATAGCAGAACTGGAGATTCTTCAATGAGAGGTTAATAACTATAACGAAGAAGGGCCTAAAAATAAAAAAGTACAATGCTTGTATATTATTATTATTATTATTATTATTATACAGGATTTATATAGCGCCACCAGTTTGCTCAGCGCTTTACAAAATAACAAGAGACAATACAGCAACAATTCAGTTCAATACAAGAGGGATAGGAGGGCCCTGCTCCTTGGAGCTATATTTCTAAAAGAAAAAAAATTGCAAAGCAAATAAAATTCCCACCTATATTAGACTCATATTCAGGGGCGAACTGACAACTCATGGGGCCCCCAGGCAATAGGGGATCATGGGGCCCCTGTGTCCTTGCCCAAACTCAAAAAAGCCTATGAAAAAGGTACCAGGGGCATCTCATGGGGCCCCCTACTGACCCCGGGCCCTCAGGCAGTGCCCGAGTTTCCTAAATGGTCAGTCCACCCTGCTCCTATTATTAAGCTACTATCTGAAGAGCTTTATATATCTGGCACGATATGGCAATTTAAAAATAAATGTTAATACTCAGAATATGTCTTTTTCTTTTTATTAGAATACAATATGGTATTGTAGAGCTTTACTTAATAAGACACTGTGACCTTGACCACAGCATTTTAAATCCAATCTTTTATTTTTCTGTATCCCAAATACGAAAGCCCTTTTAGTGGATGCAACACAAATGACTCTAGCTTCCTGCCAATTTCTACATCTTAAAGAATGTTACAAATTCAATGACTTTACAGTCATTTAATGACATTCAAAAGCTGCTGATTTAATCTGAAGACAAGGTCCATTCCAATCTTATCAGCAGACGATGCACGCATACATCCTGGGTCACATAATTCTTCAGTTAGTTAGCCTTAGAGCTGGTAAGTCAACTAAGCATGAAAGCTGGCAATGTATACTTGACAGTACCAGGCAAATAGTTTTAGAACATGGAACTGTCTGTAATTAACTAATAGTTCAGGAACAATTTAACATGTCTGCTTTGCTGAGGAATGCAACTCACATCCTGTGGTACATCATAGATGTGAAATTCATCTTATACGTGCAATTTTCACTACACTGCTTCCTAAAGGAGAACAGTAGGCACATTCACAATGCTTTCATTCACAGAGGAATACTTTTTCTAAAATGTACTTTCTTCCTGCTGGAGGTGAAATGTGTGCTATAACCATCAGTACTTTTACACAGCAATTATGAAAGATGAATATATTTGATTCACAATGATTTCAAAGTACAGTAATTCAGGCAGATGTACTAGATTTTAGGTGCCATCTAAAAAACATATTTCTCTTATTTGTATTATCATTTTTAGGCTCCATGTACACAGGACACTTCTGAACGATGGAAACTGCTGGAAAATGTACGTTAAAAAACGTCTGTTTAGCCGCATTTGCATACTGCGTTTATGTGCGTTTGCGTTTAAAAGCGTTTTTTAAAGATAACCTCAGGAGACCTTCCAAAATGCCCAGAATGCACTGAAAAACAGTAAAAAATTAACTATTTCAGACATTTTGAGAGAAATAGAGAGAGCAGAAAGCAGAAAGAGCAGTATGTGTTGAGATTAGCTGTCTTTTTTTTTTTTGTCATGTTTGGATGTGTTCCAACTCATTTCTGTGCAGAAATATTACAGCATTGTCTAACATATTTTCTTTCATGCAAAACCTCAAAGTATGGTGGACCAGGTCCATTTGAGTGCCGAGAAAACACTTTGCATGCATGTTTCGTGATGAAAAAAGGAGACTGCATC